TGACACAAGAAGACAAAATTGCTTTCGGCGTCTTATCGTTCATCAACACGTGAAGACACCGTAGCAAGTTACTATTTACTTTTACTCGTACATTTTTACTATTCATAGTTACTATTCACATGTACTCGTTCATGACGACTTTCTCTATATAAAGAGAGCTCATTTCAGTTGTAAGATAGAATTTTCCTTTTTGAGAATTTTTCTTTTTGAAAGTTTATCTCTCTAGTTTTCGGACATTCTCTAAGAAAGACTTCTCTTTTCCTCCTTCGAGATTCCGAAAGCCTCTCCCGTAAGGTACTTTCCTTTGTAAATAAATAAAAGTTTCTTTCATTTATGTTTATCTCTCTCTCTCTCTCTTAAGGTATATCGGCTAGAATACCACGACTCGGCTCAATAACGGTACTCGGTACTATCGTAGCCGAACCGTGCTAAAACAACGCCACGTACCTTTCTTTTATCATTTTCGGTGGTCGGCTCCGCCGCCCATGTATTTTAATTTTTTTTTAATTTAAAGTTCATTTATTTCTTTGTTTTGTTCATCTCGCATCTCCGTGGTCGGCTCGCCGCCCATTTATCAATCTCGCATTTCATACATCTTCCATTTCATACCCCGCACCATTAGTTAGATCCTTGGGTCTTATTGGTATCAAAGCCGGGACCTTCGATCCGAAATTAAAGTCATCAAAACGAGCTTAAAGAGCTCAAAGAGAAACAAACCAGAGACTCCGGTCTCTTGAAAACCTTGTTGGAAAAACAGGCGGATGAAGAGCCGGACTCGACTGCGAAAACCATGATAATGACCAAGAGTTACCAAACCTTGAAAACCCGGAACACGTTCCAAAAGATTTCCTATTTGTACTTCGTGAAGTTACTTTTAGGAAATATTTGATTAAGATTACTCTTGTGTTCCATGATAATTACAAAATTGATGCAATTGCCTTGTTTGATATCGAGTGTCGATCTATATATATATATATATATATATATATATATATATGAGAACATTTTTAATTAGTCATCATCACAAAAATATCAATGACATTCAAGCAATCAAATAAATCATGTTATGCACACTTTGATATTTTCCTTGGATGATCAATTAAATTAAATTCCAAACTCATCCTTTGAACTCTATCGGAAAACATTGAATCAATCTTATTTCTTTTTAATTCCTGAGGGGCTTTGACCCCTCGATTTTGAAATGCTATAGTTGTAACATCTCAAACCTAGGACCTAAAATAGGTCGGGAATAGTATTGACATTGCCTCAAGTTGGGGAATCTTTACTACACATGCCAATGGACACATTATGACTTGACATAATCAACAAAGTGGTTATTTTTGAATCACCGTGGCATCGATTATGTGAGAAAATGTTACAAATGCCAAATTCATGCGGATGGAACATATGCTCCCCCAATACCCCTTTATAACATGATATCACCTAGGCTATTTGCAATCCGAGGCTTAGATGTGATTAGGCTGATAAATCCTAAAGGAAGCCACATGTATTTCTTCATACTTTTAGGGATTGATTATTTCACCAAATGGGTTGAAGTTGTTTCTACTCGCATACGTGACTAAAAAAGTTATGCGTCATTTGTTTGAAAAGACATCATCCGTAGATATGACTCTCCGTAAACACTAATAAAAGATAAGGCTAAAAATTTTATTGGAAAATTGATGATAAATTTATGCCAACAATGGAAGATTAAACACTACAAGTCTTCTCTATACATGTCTAAGATGAATGGTGATGCTCGAAATAATACGATGCCTCAATCCTATGAAAGCTGAACTAAATAAAACAAGATAAAATCCCTCTCAAGGTTAATCTATCTCTAAATGACACAAAAATCCTACTGCAAATCAATAATAATCAAATCCATAACTAAATCCCAAACAAGCAAAAAGGGATTTATCAAATAAGAAACCCAAACAGACTTTAATAGAGCGGGCGTGGAATCTAGGCTATACTTGTCTAAACTAGATGAAAATTTACCACAACCTACCCAACATACAGTAGTATAATAATGCAAAATTTTAGGGCAAAAAAAGTCCACTAAGGTATTATTTAGGTTAGTCAAAATCCTAACTCGAATGTGTCTTTGCACTCGCCAAATTTCCAATATGGTATTTGATATCGTTCATCCATTAAGACAACTCCAAATATCCCCAAATTTCATATACAATCATGTCAAGTCTAGTAGAAGGTCCTTGAAAAGTTTGAGCTCTAAATAATAACCTACTCTCTCGAAAAAGATATGTTTCTAAAAGCAGACTTATAAGTTTAAAGCTAACTATATCGTTTAAGTCAATCTACCATTCATAAAATTATGCAATCCCAATTATCTAACCTTAGAACCAGTCTAAGTTCCTAAAATAAGGTAGAGTAAGAGGCACTTATAGGGATAAACATGGAAAAAAGTCTTGAAACTGTAACTCCAAGCTTTTACTCACAATAATCATCAACCCACCTTAAGTGATTACTCTAAGGATATGGTCCAAGTAATCTTAGTCTAGTCCTAGCCAGTGAAACACTTGAATATTTGAAAGAATAAATCTCTAAACTTTATTGTATTAAAATAAGCTAGGTCTACTGAATATTTCAACCAAAAGGCCTCCATAAAGTTGCATAAGATAGATTTATATAATACTCTTAAAAGACCTAGAAGAATTTGGCCGAGTCTAAAATTCTTCCCTAGTTCGAATACTTTTCCTAAATAATAATGAACTTATGTGATCCATATTTAATTATGGATACACATATTACAAGAACTTATTAGAAACCTTTCCTAAAAGATAGGAATCCACAAATAAAAAGGACTCTCAATCCCTATAATATTCGGCCACCTCCTAAACTTGATCAAAATATATAATTAATGAGGATTTAATAATTCAGCCTAAATCCAAACACAAAATAAACCCTAAATAATAATACTACAATCCATATGAGAAATAAGTAAACAAAACATAAAATAAAGATAAGAGATCAAAAACTTTTGACCAAGATTTGCTTAAAGTATTTGACCATGATGAGGAGGAGACACTCTTGTGTCGTACTTCCTTAGTTGAAAAAGAGTCAACCTTGATGTCTTAGTTTTCAACTTCTTCATTGAGATAAGGAGAAATATTGGCAACATTGAAAGTTTAAAAAACATTGTAGCTACGTTTGTTTGGGGGAAAATAAATTCCAAAAACTTGTTTTTCCTATTTTTCTGTGTTTGTTTTGCATTTATGAAAAAAAAATGATTTTCGATCAATGAAAATGATAGAGTATTTTTGAAAAAATGTTTTCTCGGGTTTAAAAGAGAAAAACATTTTCCTTCTCATGAGTTGTCTCACTCCCACATTACTTACCTCTCTCTCGATAAATTTTAACAATTTTTTTCTCTATCTTCTTTTTATTTAAAATATATAAAATTAATTTTTAATTATTCATTATCAATTATTATCAATTATTTAATTATTTTTCTCTATTTTTACCGATATTTAATTTTTTTATTTATAAATACATTAATATTCTTAAAAATCCTTTTTACACCTTAAAATTATCTTTATAATAAATATTTTAATAATTTATCTTTATTTTTTTTATTATTATTTCAAACACCACCTAAACTATACTTAAATGATCGAAAATGATTATTACAAGACTATAATTTTTTATATAAAAAATTAAAATTAATTAATTCATCAATGAATATATTATTTTTTTCAACACTATTCATTTACAATTAAATCAATAATTTTTAATTTTAATTAATTGTAAAATTTTGTTGGTAATTGTAGTGAATAATTAGTTTCAAATTATTCCAAAATTAATCTTTTCGGACCAAATGAATAATTATCTATAAATGATAACTAATAATTTATAAAACTATATTTTCAGACTAAATTATCATTTTAATTTCTTTAAAAAATAATTTTTAATTGAGTTACTAAAATAACAATATTAGGATTATTTAAAATCGTTTTTTACTAAATGTGAATATTGATTTGATTTTGTCACAAGTAATTTTGATGAATTGGTTTAATGGTTAAAAAAATAAATTTTATTTTTTGAATTAAAATTTTAGAATTAGTATTTATAAAAATTTTTAAAATTTTTCTAAATGTATCTTATATTGTGAAATCATGAATATATCTTTTTGAAGTTTTATCAAAACTTGTTATATAACAATTATATATGTATTTTTGTATTTTAATTTTTTATATTGAACAAATACTGAAATATATTTTTTAATAATTTTTTATATAATTACCAAATGATAAAAATATATTTTTTAAAAATAATTTTTTATAAAATAACTTCTTTAGGAATTAATTTTCCTATTAAATTTGTTTTCCTCCGTAACAAACGCAGCCTGCATTCTTCGGATAGCTCTACCATGTGGGGGTTGTCGCTGTTGGCTTCTACTCGAAAAGGTCCACCAACATGAGGCTTAAGCTTGGCATGTAGCCCTCTTTGGAATTTACGCTTCCTCAAGTGTACATATACCAGATCTCCCGCTTGAAAGACTAGCCTTCCTCTGCTTGGGTTAGCATGCTTTTTTGTACTTCTCATTCTATTTGGCTATCTTCTCTCTCACCAATTGACTAAGCCTCTTGATCTCTTTGACTCTTGCCTCAGCATCATAACTGAATTGTAGCACGGTTGGCTTTGGCATCAGTTTGATAGGGGTAATAGGATTTCTGTCGTATACTATCACGAAGGGATTTTTGCTGATTGTTGTACATGGAGATCGATTATATACAAATTCAGCTTGCACAAGGAGTAAGTCCCATTGCTTGATGTTCTTATTCACAAAGCTTCTCAAGAGACTTCCCAAACTATGGTTAACAATTTTGGTCTGTCCATCTATTTACGGGTGGGCGGTCAAACTGAACTGCAAAGTAGTTTCCAACTTTCTCCATAACATCTTCCAAAAGTGCCTCGTAAATTTGACATTTCTATCGAAAGTGATAGTCCTAGGAATGCGCCAAAAGGAATATGGTGTAATGATCGCTTTCTCTTGCAAATTCTCCACAGCCACAGCCAACTACCTAACCTATATTTCCCTAAAAAGGTTCCCTCCAAAGCCGAGAACTTTCACTCCTCTCTCTCAAATTCAACAACAGTGTAAGCAACTGGAATGCCAACTTGTTAGCACGCTCGATGGCTGCGAAAACCTCAATCAAATCAAACAAGTCCATGCCCACATTCTGCTTAATGGCCTTGACCAGTCCTGCTATGTCCTTGCAAAACTTATCCGCATGTTCACAAAATTTAACATCCCTCTGGATCCATATCCACGGCCCATTTTTAACCGGGTCAAATACCCGAATCCATTCCTTTACACTGCTCTAATTAGAGGCTATTTGATTGAAGCAAGGTTTAATGAATCAATTGAGTTGTATAGTTTAATGAGAAAGGAAGGTGTTGGGCCTGTTTCGTTCACATTTACTTCTCTTTTTAAGGCTTGTGGTGCTAATATGGACGTTGGTTTGGGGCAGCAAATTCATGGGCAAACGATTGTGATCGGTGGGTTTGGTGCAGATTTGCATGTTGGGAATTCTATGATTGAAATGTACATAAAATGTGGGTTTTTGGAGTGTGGGCGTAAATTGTTTGATGAAATGCCTAAGAGGGATGTGATTTCTTGGACGGAGTTGATCGTTGCTTATGGTAAAAGTGGGAATATGGAGAGTGCATGTGAGTTGTTTGATGGATTGCCTGTGAAGGATATGGTGGCTTGGACTGCGATGGTTTCAGGTTTTGCACAGAATGCTAAACCGAGAGAGGCAATAACGTTTTTCGAGAAAATGCTGGAATTTGGTGTTGAAACTGACGAGATTACTTTGGTCAGTGTTATTTCGGCCTGTGCTCAATTGGGTGCAGCTAAGTATGCTGATTGGATTCATGATGTTGCAGAAAAATCTGGGTTTTGTGGTCGGCATAGTGTTCTTGTGGGATCAGCTTTGATTGATATGTACTCAAAGTGTGGGAGTGTTGGTGAGGCGTGTAGAGTTTTTGAGGGCATGAAGGAGAGGAATGTGTATTCTTATAGTTCAATGATTCTGGGGTTTGCAATGCATGGTCGTGCACGTGATGCAATGGATTTGTTTGATGAGATGGTGAAAACAGAGGTAAAACCGAACAGGGTTACTTTTATTGGGGTGCTTACGGCCTGCAGTCATGCAGGAATGGTAGAACAAGGTCAGGAGATATTTGAGTTAATGGAAAAACGTTATGGTATTAAACCATCTGCTGCTCATTACACTTGTATGGTGGATCTGCTTGGACGAGCTGGGCGCTTGCAAGAAGCACATGATCTTGTTAAAACAATGCCAATAGAACCTCATGGAGGAGTGTGGGGAGCATTGCTTGGAGCTTGTCGTATCCATAAGAACCCTGACGTTGCTGCAATTGCTGCAAACCATTTGTTTGAGCTTGAACCTAATTGCATTGGAAACTACATTTTGCTTGCCAACATATATGCATCATCCGGAAGGTGGAATGATGTCTCGACCATAAGGAAATTGATGAGAACAAGAGGTCTAAAAAAGAACCCTGCATTTAGCTGGATAGAATCAGAAAAAGGAATGGTTCACGAGTTCTTTTCGTGGGATATGACGCATCCAAGGTCTGGTGAGATTAAACGAGCGCTGGAGGATCTTCTTGATAGGTTGGAGGGCAAAGGATACCAACCAAACTTCAATTCTGTACCATATGATATGAATGATGAAGATAAAAGACGTATACTAATGACTCACAGTGAGAAGCTTGCTTTGGCTTTTGGGTTGATAAGTACGACTCCTGGGTCAGACATAAGGATTGTAAAAAACATTAGGATATGTGAGGATTGCCACTCAGTTATGTGTGGTGCATCACAGATCACGGGGAGGGAGATTGTTGTGAGGGATAACATGAGATTTCATCATTTTCATGATGGGACATGCTCATGTGGTGGTTTCTGGTGATTGAATCGAAGATTAATTTGAATTTTGTTTTAGATGGTGGACATTGGAAGTCCAGAACCTTTTTTTCTTAGATGGTGGACATTAGAAGTCTAGAACCCTTTTTCGCTTTGAGGGAACTGGAATTTTAGATGGTGCATTGAACATTTGAATGTTGCTCCACAGACGCTCGCACTACTGAATTCTTTCTGAACCTGCTCTGGCTCTAGTCAATCATCTACCATTGTTAGCAAGCGCTGCAGTACAGACAATGGCAAGCTTTTCGAATCATGCCTGCGGGGTTAAAATTATTGAATACAACAGCCATTAATAGAATCAATTTACATGAATGGCAAAGATGCTCATGCTTAGGAGGTACTAAATAATTCAATCACATGCCAAGATAATCTGCACTTGACTTCATGGTCGCAATTCCCGTTGCAGGTCTACAGGATAATACAAACAATGGATGTGAAAACTGAAGAGTTCTTGAGATGAAAATGCAGATATCTAAGGCAAAGGCGACAATCAAATAAGAAAATGGACAAATTTTTGGGCTCTCCTCTTTGCATTCTATCGTCTTATTTCAAAGTTGACTCTGGTAAATGTGTTATTGTACGTCATACATATTTTTGGGCTCTCTCCTCCGTGCATTCTATCGGCTTATTTCAAAGTTGACACTGCAAAACGTGTTACTGTACGTCATGCAAATTTCTTTATTATTTCTTAGCACAGTTGCATATGAGCTCAGTGCAAGAGGTTTCCAATCAATTCTAGGGTACTATCTAAACTACTTTCGAGCTTTCCATCAGTTCGGATAGGGACCTTATTGACCTTTGGTAGCAACTTGGCACTATTCCTTTGGCCGGCTTAAAAAAAAAAAAAAGTCCTAGGAATGCTATGTAGTCCCATCACCTTACAAAAATACAAGTCACTTATATCAGTTGCACCATGAGTGGTCTTGCATGTAATAAAGTGTGCTATCTTGGAAAACCTGTCTATCACTACCGTCACGGCATCCTTGGATCTCTGTATTCGTGAAAGCCCTATCATAAAATCCATGCTCACATTCGCCAATGAATATTCAGGAACAGACATCGGAATATACAATTCAGTATTCTACCCTTTAGCCTTCGCTATGCACTTCTTTACATATCTATAAAAATAGTGTGACATATGGGAACAAAAGAAGTGTTTGGACACAAGTTCAAGGGTCTTGTCTTGCCCCCAATGTCCGACAAGATTACCATCATGACACCAACTCAAAATAGTATCATGCAAAGAGCATTTAGGAATACATAAATGATTTTTCATAAATAAATAATCATCGTCATTATGGTAATGTTTATAAGGAGACGTACGACATTTGTTCCAAATGGAATTGAAGAAAGGATCCTCAGCATACAAACCCTTCATTGTTTCAGACCCAACAACATTGACCCTTAGAGAAAAGAGTAAGGTATAACGATAGCTGAAAGCATTAGCCACCTTGTTTAGAGTGCCCAACTGATGCTTTAGAACATAGTTGAAAGGAGATAGAGATTCACTTCATGTCGCATGTCGCCCTTCGAGCTTTGCTTGACTATGCAATTGTTTCAAGGACTCGTGATTAAAGAACAATACAAACTCTTTTGGTAATAGATAATGGAACCAACTGTCCAGTTTCATGACAATGGCATAGAACTCTTTGTCATAAGTAGAATACCTCTATCGAATCTCATTTAACTTCACATTGAAATAGGCAACTGCTTGTCTTTCTTGACTAAGTACTGCCCCAATTCCCATATTAGAGGCATCATGATGTTAATGAATCGTCGATAAAAAGATGCAAGGCCTAGAAAATTCCAAACCTCAGTCATGATCTTACAAACTAGCCAATTGAGAATAGCCTTAATTTTCTCCTCACCTATCTCGATTCCTTTGTCTGATGCCATATATCCTAGGCAGATAACCTTACCAGTGCAGAATTGGCACTTTTTAAGATTGGCATAAAGCTTATTTTACCTTAACACTGTCATCACCTATCTCAAATGCTTAAGATGCTCTTTTTCCATGACTATACATAAGGATATCATCAAAATACACAACAATAAACTTTTCAATGATTGATCGAAATACTTGATACATCAGCCTCATAAAGCTTCTAGATGCCTTTGATAACCCAAATGACATGAGCATCCATTCATAGAGACCATTGCGAGTTTTGAAGACAGTCTTCTACTCATTTCTAGGTTGCATTTTGATATGATGATAACAACTCGCAAATCGATCTTAAAAATGATCATGGCCCCACTCAATTGATCTAGCAAATTATCAAGTCTCAAAATGGTAAATCGATAATTAATTATAATTTTATTGATAGCTTGCCTATCAATACACATCCACCAAGTTCCATCCTTTTTTGGTATGAGCAAGGTTGGAACTATGCATGGACTCACACTTTTTTATACTAAGTCTTTTTCCACTAGCTTAGCTACTTGCCTTTGTAGCTCTTCATATTCTTTTGGACTTATCTCGATAGGTAGGTCCGTGAAATGAACGAGCCCGAAATGAAGTCAATGGCATGTTGCATGTCACGCATGGGAGGTAGTCCTTAGGAATCGCTTCTAGTATAACATCCTTAAACTACTTCAACAACAATTTCACCACCTTAGGCAAGTCACTCTATTCTTCTTTTTTTCCCATTTCCACTATGACACACACTAATTTTGCCTTCCTTGTTACCTTGGTGAACATGGCTTCGAAAATGGCTTGAATTTAGTTAATGACATGGTTGATCGAAAACTCTTTCTTCAAAGGCATCAAAGCAACCTTCTCTTCTTTGAACATAAAGGTATAGATATTCCCGAATCCATCATGCATAACTCAATGATCATATTGCCAAGATCTTTCTAGCAACACATGACATGAATCCATAAAAAACCCATCACACCTAACCTTATCAACATATATATATATATATATATATATATATATAGAAAATGGCACCAAGCACTTTTTCTTTACATGAATATCGATATCTTTCTTTCGGTAACCATATGAGAGTATATAGATAAGAGTGAGGTACGGTAGTTAATGGTAGTTTTTCCACCATCTATGAAGCTACCACATTTTTACAACTATCCCTATTAATGATTAAGTCATATATTTTCCTTTGCAACATGCATCGTGTATTGAAAATATTTTGTATAACCTAATCCTCTTCAAGAAAAACCATACTACTTAACACCCTTTAAACAATTATTTATTCCCACATAATAAGAGACATCACCCAATCGCCCAATCACACAACAAGGAAGTCAAACTTAGCTTTGACACCAAACTAATCCAAGAATAATATGACGCTTCAATCCCGTACCATAACAACCAAATAACATAAGATAGAATCCCCCTCAAGGCTAATCTATCTCAAAATAACATAACACTTCGCTCGTAAATCAACAACAAGTAAAATCCATAACTAAATCCAAAACAAGCAAAAATGGATCTATCAAATAATGCAACCGAATAGCCTAAATAGAGCAAGTAGGGACCGCATGTTATACTTTTCCAAATAAGCTAACATTTTACCATAACCTACCTAAAATACATTAGTATATGCATGAAAAAGTTTAGGTGAAAAAAATGTCCTCTCGGTGCCTTCTTTACGTTAGTCAAAATCCTAACTTGAATCTATCTTTGCATTCTCAAAATTCCAAGTAAGGTATTTGATTTTGTTCACCCCTCAAGAAAACTTCAAATATCCTCAAATTGTTAGTGTTCGGTGCCTAAGATCCAACCATGTTTGGATGGAATTATGTTAATATGTTATTGCATCATGTATTTTAATAATAATAAAGAAGTCATTCTATTAATTCTTATATTTATATGTTGATAAATTCAATAGAATTAGATAGAAGTCCTTATGATATACATTTGCAATAGTGATTGATCGAAAGATGTGAGACAAACACTAATGCACATAAATGATATCATTAAATGTTCCAAGTCGTAGCATCGTCAAGAATGGACACCGACAATATATGGATAGACTTGTGAGTACTATGCTCATGCTATATAATAATAGTAGGAGATCTCACACCTATTGGCATAGTGATGCCAAAGCAAGCACTTAGATGATTTATGTTAGAGAACATGTCACCGGATTTGACTCATCGTGAGAACCCATTTGATTTAAGTCTATGGGAATCTCATACGAGATGGGTACAAACGATCCTTAGACTTGAAGTCATCATGGTTATCTCATCGAAGGACTTATGCACTTTGACGAGTTGTTTCGATGGACCCATTAATGGGTTGTACATGGGCGATTCGTTAGGTGCACTAGGAATCCAATAGAGATAGGTGTATGGCTAAGATAGCACATGTCATTTCTTATATGCTAAAGGAGTTATCACATTGCACTTCGATAAATGTCTACTCAAGAAATTTATGACCATAATAAGAGTACAACAATAGAGCATAGTTGGTTTACTCTAAGAGCTAAGATATTTGGAAATTGAAGAAAACTTGTGTTATCATAATCAAATAAGACTAATAACCAAGTTTGAGATCACACTCGTGATAAGTTGACATGAGGATTGAATTGTATAGTAACCATGCTCGTGAAAGGTAATAATAGATTAACTAATCCTCCTAGAGAATTGGGTAGTCATGATGTCTTGCTAGAGGCTAATCTTGATTTATACATTGAAAGATGAAATAGGAGTCTTTTATTCTTGATACATTGTCAACATATCTAGGAGCTTATTGAGTCACACGCATAAGTTCAAGTATTCACATTACAAATGAGAAGCAAAAATATTAGAAAAAATTTCCAATTATGAAAGTTTCCTATTTTAGAAAGAGTTTCCAAAATGAAAAGTTTCCTAAAATGAAAGTTTTCTATTTTAGAAATCGTTTTCCTAATTTAAAAGTTAGTTTCAAATTTGAAAATAAAGAACATAAAAGGAAAGAAGTTTCTTAATTTAGGTTAAAGGGTATTTTTGAAAATTGTTTCCCAATGTGGACCCCGCCAAAATAAT